TTAAAAAAGCAAGTGGAAAATGTTTCAGTGGGGTGGGCCGGCATTTAAAATCAGAACGCTGCAATAGCCAGAAGTGCTGAAGTCAACAGACTTCTTAGAAATATGGTTACCATTTGCTGAGAAAGCCTTTCACAGTAGCCACAGACATGCGCTTGCAACCACAATCAGTTCGTTTTTCCCCTAAAAGTGGGACCGTGACCTCGATTGACGCCAGCAAGAGCTGTGTGCTTCCTTCCAGAGAAGGGAGGGTTAGTATATGCACATGTCCAACACAAGTAGGGAACAGGTGATGGAGCACCAAGGTACAATGGGCTTACATGTTACACAGTTTAGATGACAGTGCTATTTTTTAACTCCTGAGGGTGGCTTTAAATACGTCCCTCTGGGGGATAAAATAAAAAAAGAAAGATAAAAGAAAAAAGACCACAAAAGTAACTACTAGTTTGTGAATTGAAAAAGATAGGTGAGGGTGTGAAGATGCTTGGAGTGATACGAAGTGATGTAGACAGTACAAATGAGGCACTGTGCAACCTAGATGGAAGTATTAGAGGCAGAAAAGTTCTTCCCTCATCAACAGAGGAGAAGTGGCTGACTTCTGTGTAAAGTGCTGTACCTCTCTGAGTCTTGTGGTCTATAGTTGTAAAATGATATCTAGATTGAGTGTGCTCAAAAAATTGTTTTAGTTTTAAAGTTCAATGAAGTAAAGACAGGTTAAACTAGCAAACAGAACTGGAGATGTAGTCAGTGGTGAAAGTGTGTCAAGCCCTGGGTTTGAGCCCTAGTACCATGTACATCAAAATAGGCAGCAGGTCTAGGGGGAGCCCATTTATGAAGATGGGGACCTGCAGAGTGCTCTAATGCCAGGAACAGGAAGGAACTGTTGAGAAGGAAATATTGGCAAGAGAAAAATACCAAAGGAAATAAGGGTCTAAGTGTAGCAGAGAGGGGTGCTGATTGCTAGTCTGTCATGTCTTTCCTTGTGGGAAAAGACACTTGGCTGTGACTTTGCTTCTTAGGTGGATGGACAGCGTCGCGTGACACAGACATGCTTTGTTCAGCTCCCTTTGGCTTTAGGGCAGCAGCCCTGACTGCTGGACATTCTCTGCTCTTCCAAACTTACATCCTGGCTGGAGGAAGTGGCTACCTCTTCTGGGAGCTCTGAGCTGTTCCAGCATTGGCCTGGCCATGTGGGTGCATTTCGTTTGAGAATTGTTTTCCTTTGACTCCTTTAGTAAGCCATACTCCACATTCCACTTTTACTAGTAATAGTGCAGGAAGTTTAGTAGCCATTGTAATTCTCAGTATGGTCAGAATTTTTATGCGAAAATTGGGTTCAAAGGGGACAGTAGTCCCTTTATTGAGAATATTGTTCCCTCTGCATTAGGGAAAGGCATTAATTACAAAGACCTGGAGGTTCTTTGAATTATGACTGCATCTCAAAAAGAGTCATGATCATATCTCAGCAGAGTAGGGGCTTTAGCAGTCATCTAAGAGTGAGTCATCAGTTGTAGACTGCAGAGGTTAGGAGGCGAGGCTGAGCATGGCATCCATGGAGAAAGCACTGGAGAGTCACTGAAGAAAACAAAAGACTCGTCAGTCCAGGGACAAATACACAAGCATGTAAAGTTCACACCACACCAAAACTGGTGAGAGGTGAACCCTAGCTGTGGCAGCGTTTGGAGACTGAGGTGGGATCCCAGGGCCAGACTGGACAACACAATGACTCAGCTTCTCAAATACTTCAGAAGCGTTGTGGTTAGCCACCAGAAAACCCCCTCCTGGTGTTGACAGTGATGGTTTCGATAGCTAGCCTGACAGGGTGGGTCTGCATGGGCACAAAAGCTGAAAATGGCTTTGTAGGACATAGTGTACTCTTAAATTATATGCACTTTTCAAAAATAAATATGGAGTCTATCAGGGTCAGCTAATGAGTAGCTTTGTCTCTGTGAAATAAATGCTAAACTGTCTCTTCAGTTAAGATAGTTTAGGCTTTGTTCTTTCTCTGTGTGTCTGACTCGCTCCCTGCCTCTCTTCTTCCCTTCATACCCTGCCCCACCCTGTGTGTGTGAGAGAGACAGAGAGACTGTGTGTGTGTGTGTGTGTGTGTGTGTGTGTGTGTGTGTGTGTGTGTGTGTGTGTGTGTTTTCAAAGAGTTTAAGTCTAAGCATAAAATGGCATGGTGGTTTAGTGCTATGACCCCAGCACTCAGGAGACAGAGGCAGGAGAATTGCTGGGAGTTTGAGGCCAGCCTGGACTACATAGAAAGGTCTAGGTTGACTATATTGTGTCTGAGACTCTACCGCAAAAAAAAAAAAAAAAAAAAAAAAAAAAAAAAAAAGGAAAAGGAAAGAAAAAGCCAGTCAACAAAATAGTATATCTAGTATGTGTTAGCTGCTCCAGATGCCAACAGGATAAGCTTTTCACAACAATTTCCCATTAGTGGATGCCATTGATGGCTGTATCTGAGTTTATTATTTGTAAATGGTAAGTTCAGTGGAAATCATGAAGAAAGTAACACACGCTCACTTAGACTTTTACGCGTTGCCTTGTCTAGTACCAAGACAGATACCGACTTCTCCAAAAACCTCAAACTGATCTTTGTATCTTGACTTCTCTCTATTCCTGTTGTATTTAAATTCATTACAAAGCCAACCCTGGTGGCCCACACCTACAACCTCAGCATTCAGGATGCAGAGGCAGGAGAATTACTGCAAATTTGAGGCCACCTGGTCTGAAGACAGAGTAAACTCCAAAATAAAATAAAGTCATTAACAAATAGTTTGGTTAGTGAAGAGGAATCCAGGAAGGACTTTTGAGGCATTTGAACTTAGGTTTGGAGGGAGAACATGGTTTTATAAATGGATATGAGAGATAGCCCTTAAAGCAAGGCTATGAAGAAGCCAGTAATATTCCAGCTCCAAAGGCAAGGAGGTCTGCCTTGAGCAGGCACCGTTACTCTGTAGAAGACCATGCTTCCTAAGGTTAAGTGAGATTTTGATGGGGAAATTACTAGGGGAGAGGTAGAAACTAAGAACTCAGTTGGGTTGTTTGCTAGGTGAGTCTCGCAGGAGAGGCCATAATAAGGTCTGGTTGGGGCAGATAAGCTCAGAAAGAAAGTGAGAAGCAAGATCGAAATGGGGGCGGGGGGGGGCAGTGCTCAATTTACTTAAAATCAAGCAAATAACAGTTCTGTGGTTGAAAAATAAGTACGTCTAGGTAGTTTTAAAATATTCTCCTCTGTCATCATGTTTATTTCTTTCACCTACTTTCCGTTTTGGGGTAAAGGAAAAGCAGCACATGTTAAAGACATCAGGTAGATGTCGGGGTCTGAGTGAGTCAAATAATTCACCTTGGCTGTTTGCTATTACACAAGAGTGCATTTCGGTTCAGAACTTTTCTAAGAACTCTCGAATTGTATTGCAACATCTGCCTCCACATTTTAATTTCCCTCTTTCCTTTTATAGATATTTGCATACTTTTTTTTTCAAATGAGACCTTTTGTTTGCCACAAGAAAGCTATTACCCAGAATGTTAATGGGTTTTCAGCTATTTAGATGTAATGTATACCTTGAGTATTTAACTATAAATTTGAAAAGTCTCCATGAACAATCTCAAAGGAATACTCAGAATGCACTCCTGGTAAATTGGCTCATTTTCCTGTAATTTACTGGAAGTGCTGATAGGAGAGCAGTCCTAATGTGAAAAGTACATTAATCCCTGGAGTTATATTGTGTGGATTAAATTATTACTCTCAAAGAATACAGTGTGCGAGGCCACTTAGCCCTCATTCACACTTGTTATTTAGAGTCACAGTAGAAAAACAACCACTTACCTTTTGATGCACAAAATTAGAATTGATACATCTAATATCTTTTAAAACAAGAGGTGGTAATAGTTGCAGTTTTGCATAAGAATTGCTCTTCCCTTAGTAGTTTAGAGGTCGGTAATGTATCTTCTCTCCTGTCAGTCAGAAGGATGAGCCATTCTTTCTTCTCCCCTGAGCATCTGCCACCTAGGGGACTGCTAGGCAATTTGGCTGCCCACCTGCAGGATCTGCAACTGCCTGGGCATTTAGGGTTGTGTTTGAAATTTCATCTAACCATACCTTTTCGCCTTGTCAGGGAACTGAAAGTTGTGGAAACATGACTGGTAACAGCAGGTGCTTCTATTTGGTAAGCCCACCATTGGTGATTCTGAATAACTAAGGGGATACAGGAAGCCTCGGCTGAGATCCAGCAAAGCCACCAACTGCAGACTGCACCATGGACGTAAAGCTGGACCCTTCCCGAGACGACCTGCCCCTCATGGCCAACACCAGCCACGTGCTTGTGAAGCACTATGTACTGGATTTGGATGTGGATTTTGGAAGCCGGGTCATTGAGGGCACCATAGTTCTTTTCTTTGGAGATGGAAACAGATTGAACAAACAGACGAGTTCCACCCAGGAAACCTTCCAGATGGAGTCAGAGGAAGACCGCAAACTTAGGACCACTGAACCCTGCCATGTTCCTGAGATGGATGCAAGTACCTCCTCACCTCAGATGGGGTACAGTGAATTTGCAGTCTGTGGTAAAGGTGATCAGGATGCCTTTGATAACGATGGTAACCATGACAACCGGGAACATGCTTCTGAGATCTCTAGCTCAAAGTACTGCCGTGACACAGGGAATCATGGGAGAGAAGATTTCTTGCTAGTGTTGGACTGCTGTGATTTATCTGTGCTAAAGGTAGAGGAGGTGGACGTGGCCGCCGTGCCGGGCCTTGAAAGATTCACGAAGGCTCCCAAGCTCGCAGCTTCTCCTGAGAAGCTCAGGCGTGAGATTGTCCGTGACCTTGTGGCTCTGCCTGCAGATGGTTGGAGGGAGCAGTTAGACTGTTACACTCGCTGCAGCCAGGCTCCCGGCTGTGGGGAGCTCTTCTTTGACACTGACAACTGGAGCTTACGTATCAGGAAGATGGGAGCTCGGACAGCTGCTGACTTTCCTCGTGCCATCAGGATATGGTATAAAACTAAACCCGAGGGGCAGTCAGTGACTTGGACCTCAGACCAGATGGACAGGTAGGTTATCCAAGCGCTTCTCCGCCCCCAATGTCATGCACTTGAGGGATGATCTCTAAGAAGAGACTGAGTCTGTCTCAGGGGTGGGGCGGCTTTGCCTTGTTCTGTAGCCTTACCCAGACAGATTCGGAGCCAGACAGCAGGTGAATCCTGCAACATGCTGGACCGTTGTCAAGAGAGATTCCTTGATCCAGTTCCAGCATTTCTGAGTTGGGACCTTGAGATGCCAGCTTGCTGCTGAAGTGCTGAGCCTGGCTGCTGGCTGGGAATCACTGGTGGTGACGTCTAGGGCTGCTGATGGAGTGGCACATCTCTGAGCAAGTGCCTTCTCAAAATATCCTCAGATCCCACTGCTCTGAGGCTGGGTGGGTGTGAAGCTAGGCCAACCATGTGTGACTTTCTCACTGTTCCCATCTCTCAGCAGCCTGGTCTCCCTGGACTCGGCCAGCTGTCATTGGACGTGAGCCTTCAGTGTGTTAGAGAGCTGCTTCTGAGGACTGACACAGTCAAACCTGCCGGACTGCACACTGACTCCTTGGGATGTGACTCTTGGTCTCTGGGACCAAGAGACACCCGATTCTTAGAGTCAGGGAGCCACTTGGCCTTGTCTCACTGACTTTTTAGAATATGAGAATTTCTAAATCAAATCTTGTTGGTTCTGCAAGTCAGCATGGCGAATCACTGGAGAGGTGGATAGAGGTTGCTCATCTGTTAGCTGCTGCTGAGAGCATTCTCTTAGAACGTTGCCCCCTTTTGATGGAAGTGGTGGTCGCTGGCAATTGCCTGCATCTCTTCCTCACCCTCCTCCCCAAATCCTCTTAGGTTTGCTTTGAAAGTGCCACTTGGACATTAAGCTCTAATTAGCCTCTCTGCTGCCTATAATCTTCCCTCCTGCTCTGGTTTCCAGGCCTCTCAGGGGGTTTACTTTCTGCCTTATGCCTTCTAGAGTTTGAAAAGGCCTTTGGAAAATTGCAGGGTTGGTTCAGTTATATGAGTACAAAAACAGAGTGATTGTTTGTAGTGTACCTTTCTGGGCATTCTTTGGAGACCATGAAGGAGCAGGTGTTCTTATTTCAAAATATTTGGAATTGCTGAAGATTTTCACCAAGGTTGACCATATAATGCTATTGAATATTTAAGTAGGGATCTGTGGTTTTTATACTCCCAGATGCTTCACTTTTGAACTATTGGCAGTTGGGAGGTATGTTAGTGGCCACAACATAGACTACTATCTATCCTAAATGCTAGACAGACATGAATCCATTGCAGGCAGAAGGCCTGGTTTCCCTGGAGAAAGGTGGACACAGAATTTGCTCTTGATGTCTCTGTCCATTTGGCGTGATTCAGTAAAGCACATGGTTGCGACAGAAGCCTTTACACCATGTTTTAATCTGTGTTGTTTGTGTAGTCATAAGAGGATACGAAGTGTTGATTTTAGAAGGAGGTCCAGAAAGCTGCTCTTTCCCTCACTTTCCTTTTGGGGCTGAGACTGTGTGAGACTTTGGTTAGAGTAGAGATTCCCTTGTATGGGTAGCCACAAATCTCTGGATACTCTTCCTTGTACCTAAGAATAAGATGCTAGGTGCTGAGATCATCTTTGTGTGAGCTGTTTCTCTTTAGGACTGGATCAATCTCGTGTAGATTTGGGTGGCCGTGGACTCACAGAGGTCCATCTATTAATCCTGAGTCCTAGGATTAAAGGTGTGTGCCACCACCTCCTAGCCTCTGGCTGCTGGGATTAAAGGTGTGTGTCACCACTGCCTGACATCTATAGCTTGAGGCTGGCTTTGCTTTCTGAATCCTCAGGCAAGTTTTAATAAATCATAAATAATAATATCACTATAGGGGCTTAGCTGTTTTTTAATTCTAGGTCCTCAGGACACCTAAGAAATTGTGAAAATGGAAATCTATTTGAATAGCATGTGCTTTTTTCTTTTTCCTTGCATTTCTTCAAGTTTTTCCATTGGGTAAAGGAAAAGTTATTTAAAAGTAAGGCATCCCCTCTGGTAAGCCTCCCTTCCCACTGACGCTCATGATGGTAGTTAGGAAAGCAACCAGCTGCCCCAGGAAGTCTGGCTTTATTAGCCGGTGATGTCGCTGAATGAGAGTTAGTGGAGGAGATATTGAGTTCAGCATTGAAAATGTATTTCAAAACTATGATTTGGGGGAATAAATAACCTGGGGAAATAAATATTAAACTTTAAGCTTTTCTACAGAAAAGACAATGACAATAGCCTGTAATGATTTTGGGGGGGGGGAACACTCTATAGAATCCCCCTGGCCAACAACTCAGAGAGAGGAAACCTCTATTGGAAATGGACTTTTAATGATAATTATGATGTCTTGAGGGGAGACATTGTTCCCTTGTTTTAGAATAACTCTGTTTACCAACCCCCTAACCCATCCCCCACTCGCTCCCCAAGGATATTGAGGCCTTCCATGGGAGATCATCAGAGTCTGTCGCATCATTTGGTGTAGTGCCTAGGCCCTCCTCCATGTATCTAGGCCGAAATAGTATCCCTCCATAGGGAATGGGCTCCCAAAGTCCATTTCTGCACTAGGGATAAACACTGGTGCCACTGTTAGAGGTCCCATAGACTGCCCAGGCCTCCTAGCTGGCACCCACATTCAGAGGGCCTGGTTCAGTCCAATGCTGGTTCCCCAGCATTACGACTGGGTTCTGTGTGCTCTTACTAGGTCAGGTCTGCTGCTTCTGTGGGTTTCTCCAGCACAGTCTTGACTCCTTTGCTTATCCCTCCTCCCTCTCCACAACTGGATTCCAGGAGTATGGCTCAGTGCTTAGCTGTGGGTGCCTGCTTCTGCTTCCTTCAGCTACTGGATGAAGGCTCTAGTATGGCAATTAAGGTGGTCATCAATCTCATTATAGGAGGCGGGCATCAAAGGTGGCCTCTCCACTACTGCCTAGATTCTTAGCTGGGGTCATCTTTGTGGCTCTCTGAACATTTCCCTAGTGCCAGACACCTCTGTAAACCTGTACTGGCTCCCTCTATTAAGGTGTCTCTTTTCTTGCTCTCCTCTACTTCCTGTCCGTCTTTCTGATCCCTCTTGTTCTCCTCCCCTTCCTCTTCTCCCCTTTTCTTTTTCCTACCTCCCTCCTCTCCCCCCACCCCATGCTCCCAATTTGCTCAGGAGTTCTTGTCTCTTTCCCCTTCTTCGAGGGACCACGTATTTCTCTCTTAGGGCCCTCATTGTTTCCTAGTTTATCTGGTGGTGTAGATTGTAGAGGTTTTTCTTTATCTGGATCTGTCTTTATCATCTCAGAAATGTTGAGTCTAAACTCCAGAAGCGCCGGGATGGTGCGAGCACATGGAAGCTGCTCCGATGCCTCTCAGCGGCCCGGCAGGGCAGGCTGTGGCGGCAGGTTAACCTCTTTCTCTGGAAACCCTGGAGCATGGGGTCATCCCACTTCTTACACCATTCTGTTAGGATAAATCTTTCCGCCAAAAGCTGCCTGAGCCCCCCCGCCACGTGTGAGCTTTCCGCCAGCCGCCCACCCGTGTTAGGGCCCAAATGAATACACAGAAACTTGTATTAGGTACAATGCTGCTTGGCCAATGACTAGGATTCCTCATCTGTTAGCTCAGTCTTAATTATCATAAATCTATATATTTTATAAGACTTATCTTATCGGACGCCTTATTGGTGTCCCTCCTTGTCGGTGGATCACATTGTGCCGCTGGAGGAGGAGTGGAGGGGGAAAGGGCCCTTCCTGTTTCTCCTTTGCTTAAATATGAGTCTCCTTGCTATGTCACTTCCTGCCTGGATCAGCACTTATGTACTACATTTCCCAGAATCCTCTTTGACTCCTAGTCCTGTCTAACTTCCTGTCTCATTGGCCAAACAGTATTTTATTTAACAATCAATAAGATAAACATACACAGTACATTCCCCATCAAGTAGGCTTCCATATAAATATTTCAAAGACCTTAGTGTAAGTTATCCCACCCCATGTTCCCTTCCCTCCTACCCCATGCCATCCCATCCTTCCTGTTCCATTCCTCCTTTTCCTGCATTCTGTCTTCTTTTCCTTGAAACTACTCATCCAAATGGACCCTTACTAGCTCCCTGACCTCCATGATTCATCTAAATTTGAAACTACTCATCCAAATGGACCCTTACTAGCTCCCTGACCTCCATGAGTATTTCAGTTTAAACACACATAAGATTCATCTAAATATAAGATAATATGTAGATACTCTTTCCAGCACCATCCATTTACCTGCAAATCTCATTTCTTTACAGTTAAATAATATTCCATTTTATAAATGTGAACCACATTTTCATTATCCCCTTGTCCATGGCTGATCTTCCAGACTGTTTGTGTTTCTTGGCCACTGTGACTAGAGTGGCCGTGAACAGGGATGAGCAGGCGCCTCTGTTTCGGGATGTAGAGTCCTTTGGAATATGCCCCGCTGAATCTCATGGTGGCTGTGTTTCTAACTCACTGTTTACACTCCCACCAGCAGTGAATCAGTGTTCTTTTTCCCATACTCACACAAGCATTTATTGACTTTTCCTTCTTCCTTCCTTCCTTCCCTCCCTCCCTCCCTTCCTTTTCTTTTTTCCTTTTGTCATTCTGACTGGTAAGATGAAATCTCAAAGTAGTTTAAATTTTATTTCTCTGATGGCTAAGGATATTCAATATTTCTCGCCATTTTGTCTGTTTTTTGTATGTTATAGACACCCTCTGTCAGATATATAGCTGGTAAGTATTTTTCACTTCTGTAGACTCCCTCTTCACTAGATTGATAGCGTCCTTTGCTTCTTAAAAGAAATTTCTTTCAGGTGTGATAGCACACATCTTTAAATCCCAGCACAGGGACAGCAGAGGCAGGCCAATCTCTGTAATTTCAACACCATCCTCAATCACTGGGACATAGTCCTATCTCAAAAGACCACAAAATTAAAACATAAACAAACAAAAGCCCCCATTTTTTGAGACAGGGTCTTTCTATGTAGCCCTGGTAGAGTAGGCTGGCCTCCCAAATGTTTGGACTGAAGGCATGCATCACAACACCTGGTTAAAACTATTTTTTATTGATTAAATTTATTTATTTATTTTACATCCTAACCACAAAGTTTCCACTCCCTCTTCTCCCACCCCCACCTTCCCTTTGACCCGTGCCCCAACTCCTCCTCCTCCTCAGTTTCTCTTCAGAAAGGGCAGGCCTCCATGGATCAACAAAACGTGGCATATCAAGTTGCAGTAGGACTAAAAACCTCCCTTGCATTAAGGCTGGGCAAGGCAACCCAGTATGATGAGTAGGTTCCCAAAAACCAGCCAAACAGTTAGGGGCAGCCCCTGTTCCCACTGTTAGGAGTCCCACAAGTAGACCAAGCTACACCACTGTCACACATATGTAGAGGGCCTATGTCAGTCCCATGCAGGCTCCCTGGTTGTCGGTTCTGTTGATTCTGTGGGTTTTGTGATGTCCTTAAGCCCTCTGGCTCATACAATCCTTCCTCCCTCTCTTCATCAGGGATTCCCCACCTTGGCCTAAAAGAATAAAGTATGAACAGAAAATAACAAATAACAATGGTGTATATAATCAAGGATTAGTGTGGTATATTGTAATTTTTGGAAGGCAAGAGCTCAGACATTAGAGTGCTGGTTGTAGCCATGCTACCAACATACCAAGCAACTGTAGCAAAGTCATTTGTAAGCAGAGCCTAATTTCCTTATGTGTAATGTGAGACGATTCCATAAAATAGCTCCACAGTCCCACCTGACCCCAGGAGGGGCTTCCAAAGGCCAAGCCCACCTTTGCTTTTACAAGGAGCTTGCCTATTCTACATGAACAAATGCCTCTCTTGAATAAGTCCTGTCCATTTCAAAGTGACAGTGTCTTTAAACTTTACATTTAATGCGATTGATCAATTTGAGGTCTAGTAATGGTGCCATGAAATGGAATTATTGTTGATGGAGCTTCCTCTACTAGAAAAGTTGGGTTTTGTTATGTGGAACAAGGGAGCAGGAGGTTTGCCCACAGTAGTGGAGACTATATCCTAGTTTTGCTGAAACACAAAGTTGCAAAAGTATTAGATAAAATAATGAATGGAAATACATTGGAATTCCAATACATTGGAAGCCTGGACACTTTGTGACCCTCAGAAGCTGTGACCCCGAGAGGCAGAGGGGAGAGTTCTGGCTGAACCCCTGTGTCTGTGACCCCTAACCCGCCCATGTGCTGCATTTTAGGAAGGCCCCATCAAGCCACACAACATATCCGCCATTCTGCATAGTAGTCAGCAGAGAAGGACTACATGGTTCTGAGCTGTTTCCTGCAAATTCTCCTTGACAATGCTCTTTAAGGTGAATAGCAAGCATGTTGGGGTGAGATGGCTCATATTCCTTTGCTTGCTCCATGAACACAGTTCCTGGCTTGCCTCACTCTCCCCTGCTTGGTTTCTCCACTCTATCATTTGTGTAACAGTGTATTACACTGTTCTATGTATTAACTTATCTCTGCTTGCTAAGCCCTACCCTGCCTTCTCTCTCTCTCTCTTTTTTAAATTGGGCCTTGACGATAGAAGAAAACCATCATTCTGTGTGTTATTTCATATATCGTACAGACAAACTAATGTTCAGCCATAATGATGTCATTGAAAACAGTTTATCTGCAAGAACTAGTAGCTGGTTCATTTACATTGTAAGTCAGGCTGATTAATTGACATTTGTCGTAGCTCTGAGAAAAACAGAGTGCCATTCTTTTCCTGAGTTGTTGTCCTGAAGAGCCAGTAGTGTGCCTTCTCTGTGGATTACTCTGATTTTGCAGGTCTTTGCTATCCCTGTCAACCATGATATAATCATGAGAAGGGATTCTGCTTGGTTTGGGAGGGTTTATCCTTGGAGGGAGCAAGTCCTAACTCATGCTGTTGGTTTCATACCTTGCTTTGGTCATGAGCATGTTCCTATGGTCTTCCAAGCCTGGTTGCTGTGAACTTTACCATCCTGTCTGTGCCAAGCCCTGTTCTTGGCTTCCACACAAGGATTCCCCACAAGGGCTCCATCTGAGAAGGCGGTTTCCAGGACCAGGAGGGTCTGCCTGCCAGCACTGACTTTGAGACCACCGCTTGTTTTTCCAAGATTAATAATCACAGAAATCTCCAGCCATGTTTTCTTTTCCAGAATACTTTCCAAAAAGTCTGTAAGAATGTCTCTGAAGCTTTTTTCCTTTGAAGGCAGAAAGGCCTAAGGGGAGCATAAATTATAACTTTGCAGCATAGTGCTTAAAACTTTATCCAATGTTTTCTCTCCACACACACACACACACACACACACACACACACACACACACACACCTACACTTACACACATCTACCACACCTACACACACACACACACACACATATCTACACACATACACACCTATACACACACCCCTACACACACATTTACATACACCCCTTCGTGCGCGCACGCTCACACACACACACACACACACATCAATACACCTACACACACACACACCCCTACACACACATTTACATACACCCCTTCGTGCGCGCGCGCGCGCACACACACACACACACACACACACATCAATACACCTACACACACACATATATACCCCTCCACACACACGTATACACCCCTCCACACATCTATATACCTACACACATCTACACACCTATACATATCTACACCCCTACACACATCTACAGACACACCTACACACATCTAACACACAGACATTTACACACCTACACACACCTAACACACACACACACACACATCTACACACCTACACACATCTACACACACGACACAGACATTTACACACCTACACACACCTAACACACACACACACACACACACACATCTACACACCTACACACATCTACACACACACACACACACACACACACACACCATTTCACATACTTGAATCATTTGGGAGGAATAACCACTGAGCTATTGATTTAGCAGTCCCTTGGCATGTTCAGTTCAATGTGCTCTGAGTCAGCTACAAAGCTCAAATGTTTCTACTTGCAAAGCTCAACATGACCTTCTTGCCATAGTGGTGAGATAAATGACAACTCATTTTAAAGACTCTTCCCTTGTCTGTCTTTGTCTTCTGCAGGCCATGTGTTTATACTATGGGATCCCCCATCAACAACAGGGCCCTTTTTCCATGCCAGGAACCACCCGTTGCCATGTCAACATGGCAGGCTACAGTTCGAGCAGCTGCATCTTCTGTTGTTTTAATGAGTGGGGAAAATTCTGCCAAGCCCACACCACTTCGAGAAGGTACTGTACATGTGTTCTTTCTTACTTGGGTGTGACGCACACACTGGACCCAGGGACCCATCATCTGTGCTGTGGCCTCTGAGGAGCAGCTTGGCTGCTGAGGCTAGAATGAAAACCCTGCCAGAAGCAGCACAGGGGTAGGGAGGAGCACTTGGGAGTCTGGACATGGGTTTCCAGACTCTCCACACCAAAGTTACCAATTCAGATGATTCCAGAGTCATTCGTATCTGGTGGTTTGTGGAGCAAGTGTGTGTGGTCTTGGTTGAAGACTTCTTGGATAGGCAAGTATGTCATGGAAACACATTAGAGTTGAGCTGTGTGTGGTTTGGAAATGGTATCTATATGTGGTTGTCTGTTTTCCTAAGAGGTAGTATTCTGGCTAGCCAGCTTGCTCAGCTTGGAAATCTGAACTCAGGGTGTGTCAGAAAAAATGGTGGAGAGAACCAACACATCGCCCGGGTCTCTTATGAGGCACTTGCTCGCTGTCCATTTAATATCTTCAGCAAGCTGATGCCAGGAAAAAGTACTATTTCCTAGTATAAAATATGGTGTCCCCTTCCACATACTTAACAGAGAAAACTTGAAAATATACAAAAAAAATCAAAAACCAAAATGAAATAATTTGCGAAGAATGTCTGCTCACATGTTGCATCTCCCCCAGTACTTAAGACCCAAGCATATCAAGAGGTACTAAATTGCCCTTATGGTGGACAACAATGCCACCTGCTTTCCTTGTGAATAGTATACATTGACCATATTTAGGTTTGTTACACATTAATTTAAAATGTTAGCATATTTTTTGATTGAGTACGTCAGAATCTGCCTGACTCTCTCATTGGTGGATATTTTGATCACCTGATTGTTTTATTGATATCAATAGAGTTGTATTAGGTTCCCAAGAAGGCGATTGAATGAATGAGTGAGTGGCAGAGTCCGAGTTGGGGCATGTCTAGGCTGTGCCCTGTGGCCACAGTATTTCCCAGATGATGCTGTCTTACCCATGCTGAGAATCTGTGCCTGGTGGCATGGTACTCATGGATCAGGCAAGGGCCTCCTTTAGTTTGATGATCTAAAGCATTGCCTGTTTCCACATAGAAAGCCTCAGGGCTGATGAACTCATCTTTTCTGATTTGTGACATTTGCTTCATCATAGTTGGATGTGTTGCATATGTGCCAGATTCTTGAGCTTAACATTGATATTTTTAAATATAGATACTGTATTTACAAATAAATGCAGGACTTCAAAGTCTCTTTTTAGTTTTTAAAATTTGGGGGTTAACGTTTTCATGACAGTCCATTTGAGACAGCCTCTGCCCATGCATATACCAATTTTTAAAAAAAAATATTGGAGACTTTCATATTGACATATGTATTCTGATCAAATTTACCCCCTTATTCCTTCTATCCACCCCCCACCCCCGCCTTTCCCTCCCACGGTATCTATTTAGTGCTGCCTGTATGTGCATGGGTGTGAGACCGCCTCCCATGGGCCTCATCCCTCTCCTGGCAGCCATCAGTTGCCAGAAGCTCCTCAGCTGGGGGAGGGGCTTCATGTGCTCCTCCCTGGCTTCGATGTTGGCTAGCTTGGTCTTGTGCACGTTGTGTCAGGTGCTGTGAGTTCCTGTATGCAGCACTATCACGGCAAGCAGACACCATCTGCTGAAGACATCCATTTCCTATGGCTCTATACTCCATCCTTGATGTCTTCCAAGGTAACCCCGAGCCTGGCAGGGACGAATATGGTATAGATGTCCCATTTCTTATTCTGTGTACATTGACTGGTTGTAAGTCTCTGCCCTGTAAAAAAAAAAAAAAGAAGCTAGCTCTCTGGTGAGGCTTGACAAGTGAACGCATTAACCTATGGGCACAGAGATAATTGCTTAGGGACAGTTTATTACGATGTCCATTTAGCAGAATGACAGCACTGGGCTCTTCCCTAGGACCTATGACAGCCACCCATGGATCTTTATCCTACTTGAAGGTGCCAGGCATGGGTTCCATCCTGTGGAGCAGGCTTAAGTCCAGTCAGACAGTGGTTGGTTGCTGCTAGAACATTCATGCCACTCTTAGAGCAGTGAGCATGTCTTTCCACATCACAGCTGGATTACAGTAGCTCACAGGCTTCAATCTGGGTAAGAACTGTTGACTCTTTTTCTCCCTCTGTAGTGAGCATAGAACCTCCCATTACTCTGCAAGCTAGCCCGTAGGGATGAGTCTTCCAGATCAGTGCCAGCGTGATTTTGCCATGTTCTGTGGATCAGGTATACACTATCTTCAGCAACAGTCTTACCATGAAGTTCGGAAAGGTAGTCAAGAGTAATAACAGTACCCTGCACTGTCTAGGGGGATCTGTGGGACTCCACGGATGACTCAAAGAGAGGTAACCCATTCTAACAGTGGGTTTTTTTATTTGATATATTTGATAGTCTGTAGTGTCTGGGGAAAGTAATGTTCCCTGTTTTAGGGTAGCTTCTAAACTTCTTGTATATTTGTAAGAAATACCACTGCAGGATTTCCATGTATATATGTATATATGTATGTATATATGTATATATGTATGTAT